GAGGCGGGAAGAAGAAGAAGCAAGAAACAGAAGGATACAGTTACAAAAGTGTGCGCCAAAAATTGCAGTTGCAAAAGGATTAAGGCGCCAATTAATCAAGGTTCCGGCGCAGCAGCAGGAAAGAGCGCGCGAGCATGCAGAGCAGCGCCCCAGAAACACATAAATTCCAAAATTCCTAAATTCCTAGCTAGCCTGCCGAAGAGGTCCGAAAAGAAAATCAAAATTCCGAAGGCCGTATGGCTCCGACCAAGATTCGAAAAGGAAATTTAAGAAAGAAATTCAAAAAGAGACACCGAAATTCCCGCGCGATGTTTGGGCGCCCAAAAGTCCGACAAAACAAAATTAAAAGAAGGGAAACGAAAAAAAAGAAGAGACGTCAACGTTTATTAATCGCGCACTCCGCATCCGACCAAGTTTTGCCCCCTTTTCCCCTGGTATTCCCGAATTGTCCTCAACTGTCATTAGGGGCTCGTGCGCGAGCGAAGAAACAACGAAGAAAGCAAGGACACACATGCAATTTTCCATCAACCCGTCTAATCGACGTGGGACCCCGCTTAGCACTTCGCGCCGAAAGTCGCGCAGTACAGAAGCTAGTTCGTCACATATGTGACGCCCAGGGGGTTCCAAAGATAAGCAAACTCGTGCTTGCTAGCTGACGTGTCACTCATCTTTGATTGATTGGCCGTGGATGGTGGATCTCCTTTTCTGCCGCATACCGTGCGAACGAGTGTGGACGTCATGCTGCACGGCAGTCATATCGTGGTTGTCGTCACTCGTGTGGAAGAGGAAAAGGAAGACGATAGGCAGGCGGAGGTGTTGATGGGGGATGAGTCGGGATAGGCGGGAAGAAGCGTTCCAGCTCATCGTCCGTTTCCGGAAGGCTCCGATGATGGACGATTCTATGGAAGCGGGGAAATCGGCGACCAGTAGTGGGGAGAGAAGCGTGGTAGTCGGGATAAATAGTGGCGAAGGTTCTAAGAAGTGTCGCGCGACGGCGCATGCGGGGATTAACCCCGTGATGAGGCAGTAAACCTCTACGGCGTTGATACGACGCCATCCAACGCTGAAGAGAAGTACATGGAGAGGGAACTCGGGGGAAGCATGCCGGGAGGATGAGTGGGGATGGACTGTGACAGAGAGGCGGATGGAGTAGTAATGACGGAAAGTGTCGCGGGGGAAGGGGTTGCGGGGGAAGACGGCGGGACGGGTGAGCTGGCGCAGGGTGAGAAAGTTATGGGGGCGGAGAGAGAGAGTCCGAGGACGAAGACCGATCGGCCTTATCTCGACGTGCTCGAAGTGGGGGACGGGCCGCGAGGGAGAGGGAGGCGGAGGGGGAGTGGCTTCGTCGTCGGCGTCGCGGTGGGGAAGGAGGCTGGCGAGCGGACGGCCCAGCCATCTGGTCCACATGGCCGTCGTCTGGCTGAGGTGGCTCCGGATCGAGCGTTGGATCGTTGCTGATCGGAAGATCAGCAACCGGCGCAATCTCTAGCTGGGGATCCTCGTTGGCGTGCTCCTCATCGTTGTCGTCACCGCTCTCTTGCTCGCTGTCTTCTTCTTCTGCCTCCTCTTCGCTCTCCGTTTGCAGGAGCTCGTTTTTGTCTCCTTCTCGTCGTTGTGCCGGCTCTCCTTCGTCTTCGTTCAGATTCTCCTCCTCTTCCTCCGAACTTTCTTCCGCGAGCTCCTCGCGGATTATCTCCTCCAATTCGTCTTCGCACGGCGGTCTGTGGAAAGCGGGATCCACGATGTCGCGCGGATCCAAGTAATCCAACCGTGAAGGCGGAATTCTCGATGGGAAGCCCTCCACGCAAGCTGACCACTGAAGATACGGCGACAGCGTGCGCGAGGTGACGTGGGGCACCAAGCGCGGGTCGACCTGAGAGACAATGCTGATGTCAAGATGGTCGGCCAGCTGTGCAATCGGGACCGTAAGCTCCTGGGTGAGAAGCCTCCGACAACCTGGGCGCACTGCCCCGAATAAAAAACCGAGAAGGTCCCCCTCTACTTTGGTCCGCCACGCCTGAATCAAAAGGAACTCCAATCGCTCAGACCGTGGATAATTGCTCTCGTTCCTCGTCCACGTCACCCGTACTTCCACCAAACAAAGTGAGAGCTCAATGAAGTCTCTGCGCCACGCGTCCCACTGAGAGGGATCGAGGAGGGGAACAACTAGAGGATCAATGCAGAAGGAGAGGTGGGGATGAAGATCAGACTGCCAAAAGGTGGGGAAGGAAGAAGGAAGCTCGAAAGTAGAGATCGAGAAGGAACTCATCGGGGATGGAAGGGGATGAGAGGGGGTAATTGCGTCGGCGAGTCACGCCAATCCAGACGAAGGCCGTTGTATTTGATCGCTCGGATTGGTGCGATCACGTCCCCTTGGTGCGCCAGGATCTGGGTCCACTCGTTCTGAAGATTGTGCGCCCACAGAAGCAACGTCGCCTTGATTCTCGTGTGTCGGATGGGGGGGATCGCTGTGAGATCCCCACTGAAATTAACCACCACCGTTATCCGGCCGACGTCCACAGATGTTCGCTGTCGCAACCCGACAGCTTCTGCCAATATGATCGCGTCAGCCCTCCCGTCGACGTGGATCTCTGCTGCCGCGTAGACGCCCTTCGAGCAGAAGAATTACGCAACCCGCTGAAGGTTCGGACTAAGACGAGGATGATGCACCTGCCGCAGTGTCAAATTCCCCCGTGCTACCAGTGCTTCTTCACTTAGAGCTCCATCCTCCATAAAGCTCATGGCGATGGCGATGGCGAGGGCGACGGCGTATCCGACAGAGATTGAGAAGGAGAAGGAGATGCAGAGGAGATAGAGTCGTCGTCGGGAGAGGGAGATGGAGAAGGAGACGGAATAGAGGGAAGAAGACGGAGATAGGACACGTGGCGTGTGATCGGGCGCGCAGATCGACTGCCGGAAATCTCGGGAGCGAGGCGTACGGTGTCCACGCCGTTGGGTCCGAGTTCAATCACTCGATACTGTCCGAAGAATCGTGGCACTAGTTTACCCTGGCGTGCACATTTCCTTACCTGTAGATGTCCCCTAACTTATACTGGGGCCTGGGACCCGCATTCCCGTTCCGGGCCTCGTAGCTTCGGACCTGTTGGTCTTGGGCCAATTCGGTGGACCGTTGGCGCTTCCGGGCCAACCTAGGTAGGGACCGCTCCATGAGTTTCAGGTGCCTTTTGGCTTTGTCTCGAGCGGTGGCTTTTGTGGGGCGTTGGTTGAGTCCTGATTCGTCAGGGAGGCTCGGTATTCATACACACGCGACACTATTAGTCCGGAGCTGGAAGGGGCTTAGGCCTGTCGATTCGTGGGGCGTTCCGCGATGGACCGCCAAGATGTGGTCGACAATATCAGGCCAGGGTCGGGGGTCTCGTGCCGCAATATTTCGCCGCAAGGCCGTTTTTATCACCTTATTCGCGTTTTCCACTAATCCGTTGGACTGGGACATGTGCGGGGCCGTGTGCCGTATGGAGACGTCGTGTATGACCAGGTTCCTCTCGACTTCTCCTCTAAATTGTACCCCATTGTCGGTCAGGATCTCCTCTATGTCGTGGTGCATGCCCAAAAAACGGTCGACGTACCGCGCGATTTCCGCGGCTTGTCGTGTCTTGCAGGGGTAGGCCTCGATTCACTTAGAAAAGTGGTCGACGAAAACCAGCAGAATTGAACAGTCGCAACTATTCGGTCCGGGGGGCACCACTATATCAGTAGTATCCATACTAACCCTCTGAAACGGCCTTTCAACCACAGTTGGGACTATCGACCTAGGCGGTTGGGTTGGGGCCTTGTCAGCAGCGCAGACCTGGCAGTGTTGGACGATGAATTTAACGTCGTCTCGGATATTGGACCAGTACCATTGATTTCTGTCAATCACAACTTCGGTAATACGCACGGTAAAATGCGCCGCCGTTTCCTCGTGGGCGGTTCGTACCCAGTCGTACCGCATGAACGGGTGCGGAACTACTAACCATGCTCCACTGCCGTCCGTTTTACGCTTCTCTAACCGTCCATCCACCCATCGGTAATCCCGTGCTCTTTCTTTGGCCCTCCTCCGATCCTCCTTGGAGAAGATTTTGAGTGAGTTGCCTACCACCGTGGCTATTAAGGCGACATCTGTCAGACTTCCGCTCTTCTAAACTGCTGGATTTTGTCGGGGCCTTCCGACGTGGCATCGAGGAATCGGGCTTCCGTCGGAATCTTGTCAGTGCGACATAAGGGACAAAACCAGGGTCTATAACTACTCCGATACTGTATGCATGCACCGTGAGCACGTGCGACACATTTCCGACAATCTACCCATTCAACATATCCCGTCCCTTTTGGAGACATGTGGACGGAATAGACTCGAGAAATTGACTCGCAGAAATAACAAAATTTGTCAGGAAGGGAGGCGAAAGAAGAGGATGGGGAAGAAAGAGAGGGAATCGGGACATTACCTCCGTCACCCATTGCCCTTCACCGGCTTCTTGCCACGTGGAATAACCGCAACTTCTCCGTACTTTGGACCGTTGTTGATGTCCGTGTCCTTCCACGGTGTGATCTCTTCCGCTTTTGGTACTTTACCGGGTCGGTGCAAACGTGTCAGTCCGTCGGCGTTGCCGTGTCTTTCCGTTTTTCGATGAACAATGTCAAATTCATATTCTTGCAACCTCACCGCCCATCGTTCAATCATGCCCGTGTAGTTGGTTAGCTTTTTCAGAGCCAACAGAGGTTCGTGGTCGGTGACGAGCAGAAACTTCTGACCGTACAAATACGGATGGAAGTGTTGGATACCCCACACTACCGCATATCATTCTCCTTGTGGCGCGAAATCGTTTCGTCGCTCGTCTGGCACCGTCCGAGAAGCGTACTCAATGACATGCTCCTTCCCATCGTTTCCCTTTTGCGCCAGGATGGCCGAAATAGCCTCTGGCTGCCAGTCGGTGATGAGAATAACTTGCCGAGAGGGGTCCGGCCGGATCAGAATCAGGGCCGTGACGAGAGCATCCTTCAGGGCCCCGAAGGCCTGGTCGCACTCGTCATCCCAATGAAGGGGCTATTCTTTTCGCAGCAGGTTTGTCAGAGGCCTTGCTACACCCGCGAACCCCTTGATGAACCGCCAGTAGTACGAGGCCAGGCCCAAGAAGGCTCGAACCTGCGTCAGTGAGGTCGGAACTGGGACGTCTTTGACCGCCGCGACTTTTCGAGAGTCCGGCCGCAGGCCTCCACGTGTCACCACATACCCCGAGAACGAGATTTCCGAGAGGAAAAACTCGTTTTTTTCCTGCACGATCTTGAAACCTGCGTCTCTCAACGCACCCAACGTCCACTCGATGTGCTGCGCGTGTCCGTGAAACGTGTCCGAGTACACCAGAATGTCATCCATGTACACAATGACACAAAAGTTAATCATCCCCTGAGTCAGCCGCGTCTTATTGACGAAATTCTGAAAAGTCACGTTCATCGCCCGTTGAAACGTGGCAGGCGCATTGCAGATTCCCATCGGGCACCGAACCCACTGCCACGTGCCTTCAGACAAAACGAAGGCGGTCGTGGGCCGATCTTCTTCTTTCACCAAGATATGATGAAACCCATGCCGAATGTCGAACTTGCTGAATTAGTTAGCACACCCGATCGCATCAAGTAGATCATCAATTCGGGGAAGGGGATACACATCTTTAATCGTGATATCATTTAGCTTTCGATAATCGATGCATATGCGGACTGACCCATTCTTTTTAGGAACCAACACAACTGGGAACGACCAGGGGCCGGTGGCAGGCTCAATCCACCCGTTTGCCTCAAATTCTCTGATTCGCTGCAAGGCCGTCTTGCGCTCTGTCAACGAGTATCGGTACGGCTTGCAGTGGATCGCGGAATGATTCCCGGTCTGAATCTCATGCTGAACGACCACAGATAATCCAATATCCGCATCGGACACGCTAATAGCCCCTTGATATTCTATTAAAATATCAGCGATCAACCGGTGGATCTCATCAGGTACATACTGGGGCACACGCAATTCATACATTTGATCCAAAATCCGAACGTTAACTTGCTTCGTGTGTATACGCCGAGTAGTGTCAGGCGGTGCAAATATAAAAGAGTGATCCGATCTCCAAGAAAACACAGTGGCCACGATCTGTGCTTCCTCCTCCCTGATCGCTGTATGACCTTCGGGGGTTATCCCGTCGCAGATGTCTCGCCAAGGCACGTTTTTTAGCGAGATTTTGATCTCGAATTCATCGGATCTTGCCTCGATGTGCCGAGGGGGTTCCAAAGAACCAGCTTCGGCTCCCAAACGTAACAACTGTGTGATTAATGGGAGAGAAGTTTTTACGTAGCTTCCCCCGAATCGTTTTGTTACGTAGTCCATCAATGAACAGGTCCCGACGTACCTGCTCGCCTCGCTCAGTCTTTACAAACATTCGATGAAATCTGTTCCGATACTCGGTAATGGATTCGAGTGGTTTCTGGACTCGATCCTTGATCATATAGAGTGCTTGTTCGGAGTGAACATAATCGAAGTGGTTCATGAAATCCCGCTCGAATGTGGGAAGATTCACCCATACATAAGTGCTATACCAATGATGGGCGTCTCCCCCCATCCGCGCGGGGATGTTGATCTGAGCTTCATCGTTAGTATACCGGTGAACTCGGAGTGTGGCCAACCATGCTCCGGCAAGATGATGTGCTGGGTCAAATAAATAAAGATCTGGTGGAGCCGCCGGGGTTCGCGCAGGCGGGTTAGGCGGTTGATTGGGGATGGCAGCGGCTGCTGCAGAAGCGGCCGCAGCCATGGCGCCTGCTCGCCTTGTGGCGGAGGTTCGACTTCGTGTAGCTACAGGACTACGTCGATGTGTATTACCCGCTGGAGGGCGCCTACGTGGAGCCAGATCGCCTCGCCTTAGCCTTTATTGAGTCTACAGACCCTTATCGCTTAGCCACGTTGTCAGGCGGCCACAAGCAGTGTGTCGCCTGAAAGCTGGGGTTTTGGATCTTAGGTTCAAAGACAAGTCCGTGTTTTGACGGTACTCCGGGTAGGCCAGACAACAAAATTAGGGGGGCTCAGGGCACCCCTAATTTTGGACACGCTGAACTTTTCAAGCAACCCTCAAAGACGACGAGATGAGTGACTGCACTAGGCGCGAGCTGGGCTGAAATGAAGCTTGAAACATTTAGTTAAATTTAGTATCCAAATTAAAAATGGGAGAAAAAATTAAAGATAAAAGAAAAGAAAAGAAAAGCGAAATACTCATTGATTTATTTAAAATCTTCGATGATTAACTTTTAATATGAACACCCTAAATTATTGATTTTTTCTGACAATAAAAAAAATAAAATTTAAAAACATGAAAAATAATCAAACAAAGAATTTTTTTTATCTATTTGGATTCCATTGGAAGTTATTTTTGATGGATTCGCTTTTGTTCTTGATATTTTTGATAAGTAAATCAAGAAGTAGGAGAAGGAATTAAAGAGGAAAAGATGGGAGGAAAGCCGAGATTGTTAGCTGACTGGCGTAGTCTGGCTCCAATTATCCACGATCGGAATTACCCCCGGATTAATCATTTATTCAAACTCTCATGATTCTAGCTATACTGTGATGATTGAGATTTGTACCTATGGCTTGCCTAAATCTCCCTAACTCCCCGTAACTAGTGTGCTGTAAGTGCGGGATGGACGGATGTGGGGCGTTTCCGCTATGTTGTTCATGTGGATCGGGAGGCTCGATACTATTACGGGGTTCAGACATTGTATGGTATTTGGCGCATTTCATGCACGGGATTGCCCCGACATCAATGTGGCACACGTCTGGGAGCCATCCTTTGGTTCGGTTTGGGCGCGACAGTCTGGTTCGGGCAGGTTCGGAACTATTACGGCGTCGTGGCATTCTTCGATATTCGACATGTTACAGGTTTGGAATTGGGTCAGCATCGACATGGTAAGATATTCTCAGGTTCGGTCCTGTTTCGGCATTGGCATGGTACGACTGTTTTTTTTTTCCTTTTCTTTTGAAGTTGGTGCTTCCCGGCGTGRCACTCCAGGCGGGTTTGAGGYTGCTGCAGTTCAAGCTGAGACGAAACAGCCACYAGAGCAGCRTTGGAACAGGCTCCTATGAGTCGAAGGTATCCCTTGGCATGACGGAGTATGGGGCTCGGATCCACATCAAGGTTGGTGTGGTTCATTTGTCTGGGGCACAGTGTTGATCCCAACGGTACGATCACTGGGGCAGCACTGGTATGGCCACTAAGACGGAAACCTATGATGGCTGGTTGGGGTCGGTACAGCACATGGGGCTGCTTGAAGAGGGTTCTGATCTGATTCGGGGCTGCTGCGAGTCATAAAATTATAGTTTGGTCAGTGTGATATTATGACCAAAACTGCTATGACTCGGCGCGGGCCACTGTGAATCAGGCTTGCTACTTCGGAACGGTGACTGGTTCAACGGTGACGCAGCTACGGTTGTTGATTCGGGAAGTGGTCTAACAGACCCTAGCATTGTGACTCGAAGACCCAGGGCTGCTCACGCTATTACCGGGACCACTTGCTTTGATATCTCGTGGACAGACTTATGCCACCCTTGGCACCAACCAGGGGAAAAATAGGACCTGGCTCGAAGGGCCTGTTAAGGATGACACCGAGAGTACCGGACTTTTTTTTCTTTTTTTTAAGAAAAAGGGACCGAAGGACGCTGCAGAGATTGAGCTGTGAACGGCCAGCACCACTGGGGGATATAGTCTGGTCCAGCCGAGTGCAGAGGGAGGTTTTTTTTTGGGGAACAGCGTGCTAGGCGTACACAGCCCACCACCGGACCGACTGGTGGGCGAGAGAGGGGAACACTTGTGCGCTGGAACGGACGGTGTGCCGGGCGTACCAAGCCCCCACCGGCACTCTGCGGAGCGCTGTGACTAGCTTGGGGCAAGGAAGAGGAGTGCTGGAGCAGTGCACAAGGGATGGTGTGTGTGACTGAATGAGGGACCTGCTAGAGACAAGAGAGCTGCTGTATGATTGGCCACTGAGTATCAAATGAGGGACCTGCTAGAGACAAGAGAGCTGCTGCGTGATTAGCCATGGAGTATTTGACAAGGAGGCTGTTTATCGCTCGAGAGCGTGCTGGGTGATTGATTACCGAGTGACTGTCAAAGGAACTGCTGGTCACCCGAGAGCCTGCTGAGGGTTTGTTGATCACACGAAGACCAACGGAGTGATTGGTCATTGAGTATCCATCAAGAGACCCGTCTGAAGCGAGCCGCGGCTGCGCGCTGAGAAACAAATTAGGGAGCTGTTCGAGATTCTTACGGCATGTAAACAGGCACACGCACCGTTCCGAGTGGGCTGGTGATCGCGAATAATTATGTGAGGATCCATCCTTTTTTTTTAAATATTTTATTTTATTTTATTTATCTTTTTTTTTTTTTTTTTTTTTTTATTACTAAACCCGGAGAGTTGCTGTGTGATTGGCCACTAAGTATCTGACGAGGGACCTGCTAGAGACAAGAGAGCTGCTGTGTGATTGGCCACTGAGTATCTGA